AGGAACAAAGAACCTCCGGTAAGCTCTCCGATGATCCTAAGCCGAGAAGGACACCGGCAGGGAATCTGAATAGGAAGGACACCTGGTCAGGCAAGCAAGGCTGCAGCCACTCACAGTCGGGGGTCAGGGCCCATGGCGCCCACAAAAACAGAAGTTGTGGTTGCTCTTGGAGCATCCATCTGTGAGTCAGCCACCCCATTCAAAATGGACAACACATCTGCCCACAATTAAATCAACTTTGCCAATCCTAATAGTGCCAATTAAGGGACCAAGTTGATGGAAAACTCAAAGCAGATTTATCATTTATCTTCCCCTGGACTTAGCATTTGCATCTTCAAAAGAAAATTAGCAACAAAGTAGTAATAACAAAAATATAGACTCCTGGACTCCAGAAATATAGGAAATAAATCTTCAGCTATGTGATATGTCTGGCCTCCCCAGGAGCTCTATATCTTCTTTTTTAATTAAGAATTTTTTATTCATTTTATACACCAATCAAAGATCCTCCACTTCCCTCCTTCCACCACCCCAGCCTCCCCTCCCAACCCATTCCCCACTCCCTCCCACAAGAAGGCAAGGTCTGCCCTGTGGAGGCACATTCAATAGAGGCAAGTCCAAGCCCTTCCCCCTGCCTCAAGGCTGCATGAGGTAGTGGGCTCCACAAAGCCTGCTCATGCACCAGGGATGAATTCTGATCCTACCACCAGGGGGCCTCCCAAGCAGATTAAGCTACACAACTGTCTCACCATGCAAAGGGGCTAGTCCAATCCCATGTAGGCTCCACATCCATTGATCCAACTTTCATGAGTTCCCTCTAGTTTATTTTGGTCATCCCTGCTTGTTTCCCCATCATGATCCTGATGCACTTGCTCATAGAATCTCTCTTCTCTCTCTTTGACTGGACTCCTGGAGCTCTATCTAGTGACAGGCTATGAATCTCTGCATCTGCTTCTATCAGTCATTGGAAAAAAGTTCTGTGATGACAGTTAGGGTATTCACTGGTCTGATCTCTGGGGCAAGACAGTTCAGCTCTTAATTACTCAGAAACTTCATTTTAAAACTCCTCAGCAGTCTGGAGGTCTCTTTATTCTCCTACTATTCTCTGACTGGAAGATGGAACCTTAATATCACAAGCACTGTTTTAGCTGCTTTTCCCACTCATCACCAAATTGTGAGACAATTTTCCCTCTTAATTTTTTAAATTTGTATTTGCCATGAGTTCTTTTAACAATGCTAATGTTTCTGATAAATTTTTATTAGCCCATTATTTCTTAGTGAAGTTATTTGTTGCACACACAAAACCACTACCATTCAAAGGACTCAAGGACATAGGTGTTCTTTCATGAAACATATCCTTTATTAGCTTCTTAACTCCTGACATTATTATTAGCAGCTGTGATATTTAGCATTGATTTCTTATAAGGAACTTTCAGATGAAGCAACTCTATTTTGTAAGACAGCTAGATTTTCTGAAGTTTTTCCCCATCTATAAAGTAGTAATTTCTTTTTTGAATACCTGTTTCCTTCTCCCCTTATTAGATTTGCAAAGGAATCATTCAGCAAGTTCTCCTGCTAGACTATTTGTTTTGAAAGATTGATGTATTTCTAAGTGACTTGACTGTTCTTATAGGTAGCCTTTTGTCATCCAAATACCATAAACACTCTGTACAGCTATTAGGGAAAATAAGGTATTTGCCCAAAGGAGCCCAAAACCATGAAGGTCTGAGTTCCCTATATTGGTATTTGTGGCCACTGGGCACTCCTTCAGCCACATGACCATGCACTGGCATGCACTGGCAAAATGATGAGTCATCCCTTATATCACATGTAATCTGTACGCTGTGTGATCATGTAAGTTGCACACAACATGATCACCCATTCTATGTGCATGCATCGTTTAGCTCCATAAACCCATATAAATATATGCAGGGAAATCCTTAAAAAGCTGGTCACAGACTCCTCCTCTCTCTTCTGTTCTCTCCTCCTCCCCTATCTCTCCATCCTCCTCATGTGTCTTTCCAACAGGCCTGATCACATTCTGTCCTGTCTTTCCTTCCTCCTAATAAAGCTTTGATAGTGAATTTTGTCCTGCCTCATGGCTTTCCTTGCATGGTAACAGTGCCACTTAATGAATAACTTTGTGCTGTTGCACTGCTCCATTAAAACCAACACCACATTCTTACAATTTTTCTTTGGAACTAATATTCAATAAATTCTGAGATGATTTTCCTCCTTCTTATTCTTTTAAAATCTGTATTTCTTACTATGAATGTCTTTTCAAGCTGCAAAGTTTTTCTGGGCAATGTTGCCATCTTTAGCAGAAAAAAAAGCATTCCCAGAATGCATTTCTTTTGTATTAGTCTGCTGCTATAAGCTACATTATGAACTCCATTTCTCATAGTTCTTTTTGGGTCCAGGAGTCAACTTCCTGTTCTCTTTTACTGGGCTTGTTTACAAAGTTTTCATGGTTTTGATTTTGTAATGGGATATTTAAATGAAGCATTTTTGAGCTCCCAACCATGGGAGATTGGGAAATTTCTGTTCTCTTTTACTGGGCTTGCTTGCAAAATTCTCACCCAGAAGGTTTGAACCAAGTGTTTTCCTTTTTCAACTATGAAGGTTTCTTGAGTCAAAAGATTTCTGTTTTCCCTGAGCTGGCCCCAACAGATGTTTCTCTTTCATTGGACACTAGCCCCAGATGAGATCCGCACCGCACCTGCCCCACCAGTGCGCATTTGAGACAGGCATTCCTGATCCTCAGGGCATTGTGCATTTTCCTTTGCCAATCAGTGAAAAAAGCACTTAAGACAGAGCTTTCTCACAGCTCCTTCAGAGAGATTTTCACTGAGAGATCGTTATCTCATTTTGCTTGTTCCTTTCCTCGGATGCAGAGTTTCAGATATCTCAGGCTGTGGCTCTGTTCCTCTGCTAGCTGCCTCTGGAGATAGGGGCTTTTTTCTCCAAATCTGCTTCAAATTCTAGCAGCTTTCTCTAGGTCTTGCACCTTCTGGGAAGGAATTTGTTCCTTCTCCATTTCTGTTTTCAGGGTCTGTGCTGCTTGTGTTCAGACCTCTGCTTTTTTATCAAGGGAGGTTTTTGTTATCCCTAACCTCTCATTAGGACAGGCACACTTCCCTAATCAGGCCTTTACCTGGCCCAGTTCCCCAGTAGATTGCTTTTGTTTGTCCTTCAGATATAGCTTTAACACCAGAGGCAATTACTCAGTGGTTACTCAGGGCTATACTCCCTCACCTCACCAGGAGTCAGTGGGGGTAAAACACAAAAGCGTTTGTTTAGAAAAGTCCATTCTCTGATAGGAAAGGGCCTTTCTCAGATTTGTTTTTGTAGCTGTGGATATTGTATAGCCCCACCTATCAACCAGGGACGTGTAGGAAGGTAGGCAACTGTGCTGTTCCCACCAGCTTTGGCTTTTCTTGTTTTTTTTGCAATGGTCCTGCACCTTCCTGCTTCAGCTCCATGCTGAAAGTTGTTAATGACTGAAGGAACAAGAGTACCCCCAAAGTGCATTGCAACTTGGAGGTATTGGCTAGTTGCTTCTCAGTTGTTGGTTAGAAGTAAGGATACAATGCTTAACAGAGAAAGTTTACACCACTTCAGGGGATCTTTGTGTTAGGGTAATTAGGAGCATGTTTTTACAGATGATCACACAGAAACAAAACCCTTGATGCTCAACTCAGCTGCAGCTGAAAGGCTGAGCTTTACTGCCTTCTTCCAAGTCAGCAGCCCTTCCCCAGGTCCCATACAGCCTCTGTTGTGGCTTCACCTTGGGGAAGCTGTCCCTGCTTCAGCTTTCTGCCTGCACTCTCCCAAGCATTTCCTTGGGTGACTCTGACCACTGCCTTTTACTAGCTTGAAGAGACAGAGTTTAGAAGAGAGGTTTTTGGAAACTCAAGCCTTGCCTCCCTCATTTCAGGGAGGATTTTTCTGGCTTGAAAGAAAGGCAGAACTTAGGTTTTGCTGTTCTAAGAGTTTGCTTATAGTGAATCACAGATGATTTCCCATACTAATATCTCCAGGTGATTCTAATTTTTGTACTTACTTCAAGAGAAACTCAGAGATAAAGTTCTGAAAGGCATCTTAGCTTCAAGAGAGAGAAAGATTAAGTATTTCCCAAGAGAGAAAGACCAACTTTTCCCCAAACTTCTAAACTTATTACCCCCATATTTTGCTTCAGGGAGAATTTGTTTCTCCTGCTGCTTGGACTTAGCATTTTAGCTGTCCCCAGGCCAAAAAGCTTCCATGGGAATCTTTTTTTTTTCTGCCCAATAAGCTCAAAAAAGAGCTTTTTGTCTGCCTGTAAAGTTTAAAGAAGATACATTTTTCCCCAGTTTGCATTCATAGCCCCCAAAGTTAGATGAAGAATTAGTTTTTCTGTCTAGTTGCCTAACTTATCTTAAGTAAATTTTTTCTACACTACTTTACACTTCTTAGTTTTTGATGCACTATATTGCTACACTATACCCTTTATTTTTTTTTTCACAGATAGAAATTGAGAGAGACCGAAAGATAGAAATCTTGATAGAGGATCAAGACATCCTTCTTGTCCATTTTTCTTTTCTCTTGAGGATAAAACCCCCTGTCCTATTTAATTTTTTTCCCTTCACTTCAACACTGGACCAGACACTTTTCCCCTGGTAGGGCAACTTTCACCAAGCACTCTAAAATATTATTATTATTATTATTATTATTATTATTATTATTATTATTATCCTTTGTCTTCAGTCTCTGTTCATGGCACCATTCTGGGGGCGGGCTACCCACCACACCCACATTTCCCCAGAATGCTCTTGAGGAGGAGGGGTAGGAAATAATAGATAGAAGGATTTAGAGTGTGTAGAGAAACAGATAGAAAAATACAGAATAGCCTCGAGAGGGACTGGAACCTATTCCATCAGGCCCTGACAGTCTCTGCCCTAGGGTATTTATAGAAATGCCAGGGGTTGGAGCAAAAGACATACCGCCAGCATAGCCAAGTGCAGACCATCTTGGACACCTGCACTCAGGCCTGTGGTCCAATCATCCTTTCTATGCAGACCTGCAAGGTAAAGCCACCAGGAAACCTGAAAATGGGCTCCCACAGACTGTATATCAAGACCCTGACTCAGAAAACAAAAAAATAAAATACTCCTCTTTTTCAGTTTCAAACCTCTTTATTTTTTCAACCTACTTCCACTGTCTCTTCCATTCTACTTAGATCAACAGCTTACTGATTGTGGCATGCTAGGTACTGTATAGTTTACTATCAATAAGTCTTACCTTACTAATTCTGAGTCTGAACTTGCAGTGATATTAATACCAGTAAAGAGCTTCCTTTGCCATCATTCTCTGTCCTCATTAAATGAAATCTGTTAAGAAAAAAACTGGTTGTTTTCTTGTACACTGCAGAACACTCAAGACATTGTTATATTGACTGAATTAAAGATTGGTGGGTCATGGCCTTATCATACACTATTTCTGCTAATTAGTCAGGCTATCACAGGGCTGAGACCAGCATTCTTATGTTCACTTGACCTAGAGAGTTCTCCTCAGGTTTAGAACAGAAAAGGAGGTCAACCAGACAGCTCACTTGAAAACTCCATTCAGGAGAGAAAAGTTCCCCCACCTCCCCATCACCTGGTTGGGGACAGAGGAAGACAGTATGTCTTTGGGAGGGTTATTCATAGCTCCAGAGCCCTGAAACTGACAGAGAAGGTGACAAGGAACCCAACTGGACAGGAAGAGATAGAATAACTGAGAAAGAGAGAGAGAGAGAGAGAGAGAGAGAGAGAGAGAGAGAGAGAAGCAGGTGAGTGTCTCCAGGCCAAGGACACTGTTGCTCCAACCAACTCAGAGGCCACAAAAAGGGACCCTTGAGGTACAGCCAGGACCTGGTGCTAAGCCTTTGATTCCAGCCACTGTCTGTGTGGTCTACACTGAGGCTTCAGGGCTCCAGATCAGGGTTCACTCCCTGGAACCTCCACCACCAGAATACTGGAGGAGAGTATTGCACATGGAGGAGCCAAGGTGGGGCAGGAGTGCATATTAGGATTAGGGGAATATAAGAGGAGTGCAGTGGCGTGGAAAAGGATAGAATCATCAGAAACTGGGAGGGAAAAGGTTGCAGAATGAGTCAGATCCAGAGGGCAGAACAGCAATAGTCAATGGCTGTGCCTCTAGGATGTGGGTGAGGAAGAGGCAGATGGGGAGACACCCTACCCAGCCAATCTCCATTGGATTCCTCCCCAAACCCCACCTCCACAGAAACATTAGAGATCTAGCTACTATTTACAAGTGTGCTGTATTGGAAATGAGAGTGGAGATGGTTACTGGTATTGTGTGTTTTAATGGCATTTGCCAGAGTAGTGGGACTCACATTTCCCATGAGGTTCACTATCTGAGCAGAAGAGGACTTCTTGGGCCAGAGGGAGGGATGAACCATCTGGAGCACTAGATCTCACCCTTGAGCCATGCCCAGCCTCATACCCCATCCCTGCTGCCAAGGGGTATGCACTTGAACCTTGGGTGACTGAAATCCTGAAATTATTCCCTCCACCTCCCAATTACTGCAATTATAGCTTGTGCCACCTTTGGCTTAGTTGATTTCTTTTTCAACTTCAGTGAGCCATTAGAAACCCTGGATAAGAAAAGTAGTTGACAGAAAGAAAAACTGGTTGTTGGTGTAAAACCTGCCTCTTATCAACTGCAAAATGAGGAAAAAACACTGCCCTTGTCCTTTTGTGTGGTTATTGTTATAAAGACAAAAATAAGGTTTATAAAACATTTAATAAACATCCTGTGTTAAAAAAAAAACAGGACAAGAGAGAGAATGCAGCTGTTAAAGGCAAAGGCTCTGTGATGGCTATTGCTGTCAACTTGACTATATCTGCAATGAACTACAATATACAAATGAAGGACACACATGTGATCTGGATCTTGAGGCAGGAAGACATTATGCCTTTGATCCAGATCTTGAGGCAAGATAGTACACCTTGAATTAAAGTCACATCTTCTGCTGGACAATGGAAGAAGAAAGGGTTAGTTTGTTCTTTGCATGCTTGCCCAGCACATCCATTCTTTCACTATCATTGGAGCATACTTCTTTGGGATTCCAGCATATAAAGAAGACCAGCTGAGACACCTACCTTTGTCAAACTGAGCACCTATTAGATTCTTGGACTTTACATTCACAGCTAGCCATTGTTGGATTAGTTGGACTATAGCCTTTAATTCATTCCAATAAATTCCAGAGAGAGAGATTCATTCTATAAGTTCTATGACTCTAGTGAATCCTGACTAGTACAGATTTTGGCACCAGAGAAGTTCTTGAGAAACAGAAGTCTAAGAAAGAATCTTGTAAGTATCTGGAATAAGCTTTTCAATTCACTAGAACCTTCAGCTACTGAAGCCTCTCCTGGGAGCTAGGAGAGTTCTGGAAGCCCATGGTGTATACCATATTTCAAACTTAAAGAGATAAATGCCTTTGATTATCTTGATTCACCCATAGTGTGTGGCAGTTGATTTACTGGCCCTCTATATGAAACTTTGGTCAAGTTTAAGGAAAATGATGTTGCTGGTTGGTTGCTCTTAGCACCTCTGAATAAACTGATAAAGGATTGGAATGTGCTTCCTGATAAAGTTAATCAACATCAGAAAACACTGAAGGACAACAATGAGCTTAGTAATAAAATTGACCAGCCCCAGATGTGAATAAACAGTCTAAAGATTTCTAAGTGTGCCCTAGAAGAGAATCTTCTCTGCTAGAGCCATAGAGTATAGTTGAAGTTCTCCTGTGTCCACACAGCTCCTGCAGCTGCTCAGACCCATGTACATACACAGAGACTTATATTACTTATAAACTGTATGGCCATGGCAGGCTTCTTGTTATCTAGTTCTTGTATCTTAAATTAACCTATTTCTATTAATCTATACTTTGCCACATGGCTTGTGGCTTATTGGTATCTTTACATCATGCTTCTCATGGTGGTGGTGGCTGGCAGTGTCTCCTGACTCAGCCTTCTACCTCCCAGCATTCTACTCTCTGCTTATTCTGCCTATACTATACTTCCTGCCTGGATACTGGTCAATTAGCATTTTATTTATCAATCAATCAGAGCAACACATTCACAGCATACAGAAAGACATCCCCAGAAATCAAGCGTGAATTACAGAAAAATCAAAACAAAGCCTTCATCAATAAGGCTGGCTGAACTACAGTGGAAACTCAAGTCTCAGCCTTTGAGGGTGTTGGCAGATAAAATAAGGACATTAACTGGTAAAGAATGAGATGCTATAACTTGGGATAGGGATGTGTGGGAGTAAGCTGAGAATTTTGCACCCTCAGATTCTCAAGGGTTTAACTCACCTAAAGAAGTAGTATCCTTAGCCCCACCCATTGAAATATTGCCTGTTTTACCTTTCACTGAGGAAATTAATCCTTCAGTATCTGCTAAACTAACAGTGACACAAAATGGTGAGAGGGACACCAGAACAGTTGTAGAATTTTGTTGTCATCCTTTTCCTTATGACAAACCTTAGGGTTGCAGATGTTGCTGTTAAATGCAAAGAGTTTAAATGAGCCCCAAGGTAGCAGGGGTCAGGTGGCAGCATTGAATCACCAAAGGCAAGATGATCATAGTTATCATAATGGGCAGCATAGACAAAATGATGTTCATAATGGCACAGGCAAGGTGAATTTTATAGTGGCATTATTGTGTGGACCCTTGGTACTGGCTAATCCATCATGGTGTTTCCAGGCATGAAAAAGATAAGAAGCCTATTGCATTTTTGTTTGACCTCTATAAATATGAAAATTCTCAAATGAAAGAAAAGCTAGACTAGATTGTGGCAAAAGACAATCTTGGCCATTGAATCAATTTCCATACTTAAGCCAGTTTGCAGACCCAGAAGCCCTTGAATGAAGAAGGGGTGGCCAGGTTCCTCTGAGGAAGGACCTTGATAAGACACCTAAAAGTTTTACTGTTAGCATTTCTCCAGTTCTTTCTCAGAGGTACTTACAACCTTTTACAAAGGTTACTATGCACTCAGGAAAAGGTAACAATCAGAATTTCTGGGTCTATTGAATAGTGGTTATGAAGTGACACTAATTCCAGGAGGTCCCGGGAAACATTATGCCCCTCCAGTTAAAGTAGGGTTTTATGGAGGCCAGGTGATTAGTGGAGTTTTGGGTGCTGTCTAACTCACAGTAGGTCCAGTACATCCATGAACTCATCCTGTGGTTATTTCCCCAGTTTCAGAATCCATAATTGGGATAAATATACTTTGAAATTTCAGAATTCTCACATTGGTTTCCTGATCTGTGGAATAGTGATGGCTATTATGGTTGGAAAGGCTAAATGCAATCCTTTTGAGTTGCCCCTGGTTAAAAAAATAGTGAATTAAAAACAGTATCACATCCCAGAAGTCATTACAGAAATTGGTGCTACCATCAAGTATTTTTTTATCTTCAGCACAGCCTTAATTTATTTCTATTTTATCCAACAATTGCAACTCTATAATTACTAGCTTGTTTCTATAGCAGTGCTGCCCCAGCCAGCCACTCAGCCTGCAGCCTAATAGAAATTCCATTCCTGCAGGCTCTGTATCTCTCCATCTCCCCAAGATACCCACTTTCTGTAGAATAATCTTGTACATTGTAAAGATTTGTTACCCGAATTATTTTAATAAAATGCTGATTGGCTGGTAGCTGGGCAAGAAAGTAAAATTGATGAAAAGGAGGTTGGAGTCAGAAGTCACCAGCCAGGCACAGAGGAAGAAAGATGAGAATGTAATACTGAAAAAATACCAAGAAATATGGCTAAACATAGTTAAGAATTATGGGTTAATTTAAGTGTAAGAGCTATTAGTAATAAGCCTGACCTACTGGCTGATCATTTATAATTAATATTAAGCTTCTGAATGGTTATTTGGGAAGTGATTAGTGGGAAAGTACCATCCAATTACATATGGCACTCAACATGGGGGCAAATTTTCCACATAAAATCCAACAAAGCTTAAAAAGGATTCTAGACACACAAGAATGGAGTCAAGAATGCCTTCTTGGTAGCAGCATTTTC